TAGTTGGGGTGAGAGAAAATATGCCAAGAAATCCTGTTTACAGCTGATAATGTTTCTTTGCCTTGTATCATGTGTGACATTGTCCATAGGATTTCAGAATATGGCAGAGATCAGAGTTGTTTAGAATTGTTCTGGAAAGCTTTCTGGAGAGAGGGGTTCTAACTAAAAGACAGAAAGTTGAGTTTGGATTGATTCAGGGGCAACCCAGCCCTGGTAGGCAGCAGGAGTTCATAAAGTCAGAAAAGCAAGAACTTTTTTAAAGTTTGTGTTTTTAATACGTATATGTATACACAATGCCTTATATGTACATTTTTAATTCACATAAATAATTTTTGATAAACATTTATCATGCTTGTTACTTTCTTCACAAAGCACTTCACAACTGCATACCATGTTGTATGTAAACAGAGAATTGCTTCTAAATTCTGGGGACTCTCTCTCAATACACATCTAGCACATTTTAATAAAAATGTGCTAGATGTGTATTTAAGTTGTTTTCTTATTAAATCCCTTTAATTTCTTAAGTTTTTAATAAGAAAAAAAACTTAAATACACACCTAGCACATTTTAAGAAAAATAAGTTTTTAAAAAAATAAGTTTTTTTCTTATTTTAAAAAATAAGTTTTTAAAAAAATAAGTTTTTTTCTTATTAAATCGCTTTAATTTCTTTCTTTCTGGAGAGAGGGGTTCTATACAATTAGTATCACATATTAAAGTCTATCTAATTCCCAACAACTTCACACAAAAATATCCAATCAAAGGAAATAAAATTTTGTGCATGTTTTTATGCACCTGAGAAATATACTACAATTTCTCAAAGGAAACAAGACAAAGGTGCCTAACATGGCCACTTCTAATCATGTTTGTTTTGGATGTGTGTTGATATAAAGGAACTAGAGAAATAATAGAATAATAGGAGCTAGAGAAATAATAATTGTATTTCTATATATCAGCCACATAAAGTTTTTTAGGAAACAAAATTAAAATACAGATAATGTATTTTTGTACATATGTGTACAAAAACAAATATATATGTGTGTATATTAATTAATTTATTTGTTTGTTTATTTATACATATGTTTCCAAAAATAACAGACTAGTTTATAGCCTCCTTCTAAGAACAATTAGAAAAACTGAAAACTTTATTTTTACACTTTATGGATCATCAGTGAACTGCAAAAACAGTGCAGGCTTGAGAAACTGAGAGATAGGCAAAGAGTAATTGAGGGAAATAAAAGAAAATGGAGTAAAATATTCAAACTGCTGATGTTCCTCTCCTCTACCAACAAAGAGAAAAACAAAACACTTCACAATATAGATTTATACTCAGCAAAAGTATCCCCCAAATATGGCAATAAAATAAAAGAAAAATTTTTAATTTTCAATTTTCAAAATTTGTCACTAGAAGATCTAGACTTACAGAATAACAAATGCAATTCCTCAAGCAGAAGAAAAATGTCTCCAAATGACAGGTATGACTGGTAGAATGAAAGGAAGGGCCACTAAGTGTACAAATCTAAATGAATAAATATTAAAGAAAATATAGTATATTTGCTACAATTCCCATGTTTCTAGATTTAAATACCTGAAAATTCAAATGACAAAATGATGATGGAAATAAATGTCAATGGAGCATAATTTTGTAAGTTTCTTTATTTCTACGAAAAATTAAAAGTCATATTTATATTAGACATCATTAAGTCAAACCAGATGCTAAAATTTCTAATATAAAACAAATTAATAAAGCACTCATAAACCTGACAACCAACTGAAGGGAAGATATTAAGTAGTTATAACTTTTTTATTAATGCAAAATGAGACCCAAAAAAGAGGAAAAATGGAAAACAGAACAGGTGGAACTTACAAATAGAAATCAAACAGTGAGATAAAATTACAATGATAGTGTGAAATGCAAACAGGCTAGGAAATTCCAGCAGGAAAAAAAAAATGGCAAGTTGCTCATCTGAGACAAACATTTCCCATGTGACAACATTAAACTCTGGGGAAAAAATGTGTTTAAAATAATTACTTGAAAGCACTAAAGAAAGGTCAAAAACTGCAAACATGGAGGACATCTGGTGTTTGAAAAAAGAAAATTATGCCTGGTGGGAGGTAAGTTTTAAGGAATTTTGCCAGCCAAAGAGTCTGAGTGTCATTATCTAGAGCAATTTGAATTTAAGCAGAAGACTGCAGACTTTTGACCCAAGCATCATGACAGAGTTAGAGCAGAGAGTGGCTGTGGATTCAGCAGAAAGCCACAGAGAGAAAGGAGAAAGCCACAGAGAGAAAGAGCCCCCAGATCCAGGTATAATCCACTCAAATCCTTGACTGAGCCCTGAGCTGCATATGCACAAGGGACACTCCACAGACCTAGCAGAAAGCAGCAGCTAGGAAGCCTGAAATGACTGAATAGGGCTCTCATCTGTTGCCAAGCAGGGAAACAGTCTGTACTTGAAGGTCCATAGAGTACTTGGTAAAGAGCCCAGGCTTCTTAAGACCCACCTTGAAAATCATCAACCCAAGAATTCATAAGTTCAAACAGAGAGCTTTAAACCATGTTCACAATCAGGAATACTCAATATTGTTAGTAGAGCAGTTCTTCCCAGATGTATCTATAGATAAGGATCAATATAGTCAAGCTGGCTTTGGGTAGATAAAATCGGTCATTCCACTCTTGGGTATTTACCAAAAGGAAATGAAAATATATCTGCAGTTTAGAGAAATGTGAACATTGATAGAAGCAGTTCTCTTCACAAAGGCCCAAACTGGAAATAAATGTTTATAAAATGATAAAAAGATACAAATGTTATGGTACATTCAGAAAAAGGTATACTATGAAAAGCCTGTGAAATTATATAACCATTTAATTGTACTACTCTTGTTGAAAGGGTTCTTTTTAATTCTGAAATAATTGTATATATTTGTGGATCATGTGATGTTTTGATGGCTGTAACCATGGTGGGATGATCAAATCTAGTTAATTAGTATATCTCTAATTATCATTTCCTAGTGATGAGGACATTTGATATCTTTTAGCGATTTTAAATTTACATTATGATGGACTACAGTCACTATGCTGTGCTACACAACACCAGAATTTTTATTCTAATCCAATCATCGAACTGAAACTTTGTACCTATGATTGTATGGTTTTTATTGCTTATTCAAATCCATGACCTAAGACAGTACTAAGCCAGCTGACATTGTATACAGGCTGAAGGAAACAAGAGTGTTCAGAACAAGGAAGAAAAGGAGTTTTTCACGGCTACAAGAGCTAGTTAAGAATTCACAGGACTTTTTCAATTACCCAGGTGGGGAGATCACCATAACAGGTGAGTAAGAAAACTATGAAGACTCTGACATTCTTTATCTCTAGTCCTGCCAAACGTCCAAACACAGAGGAGAGAAAGGAAATTAGAAAGACCACGTCTCTGCCAAGGTCTTCTCCCAAGTAAGAGAAAGAGAAGAAAGGGGTAAAGTTTAGAAGAAAAGTGTGGAAAACAATACATGAGGTGATAGTCTGTCTTCTAACAAGGACAGGCTGGTTTTGAGTATGACGTGGCTTGAAGATAAAGTATTTTCCTAAGACCCAACCAGCAATAGTACTAGACTTCCACAGGGAGCGAGTATGTAGAGTCACTCAGCTAACATCTAGTTGGAAGAAGAGAAAATATGCCAAGAAATCCTGTTTACACCTGATAATATTTATTTGCCTTGTGTCATGTGTGACGCTGTTCAGGCAGAAAATGTACAAATGTGCCACAGGATTTCAGAATATGGCAGACATCAGAGTTATCTAGAATTGTTTTGGAAAGCTTTCTGGAGAGGTGGGTTCTAAACTGGGGACAAACAATTGAGTTTGGATTGGTGCAGAGGCAACCCAGCCCAGGTGGGCAGCAGGATCTCAGAAAAGTAAGAAATCTTTTTTAATTTGTGTTTTTAATATGTGGATGTGTATGTACAATGCCTTATATGTATATTTTTAATTCACATAAATAATTTTTGATAAACATTTATCATGCTTGTTACTTTCTTCACATAGCACTTCACAATAGTACTCCTTGTTGTATATAAACACAATGAATTGCTTCTAAATTCTGGGGACTTTCTCTCAATACAAATCCAGCACATTTTTCTTAATCATCTTATAGTAGCACATATTAAA